TACTCCGTTTACATTGGTTAAGCGTGATCAGTTGAATAATCATACTTAGTTTTTGTTTATATGTTCTATAGACAAAACGTGTTCACAGCGTTGAATGCTGGATATTCGGCTATTGAACCCTGTTGTTAGATTTGTATGTATAGCATGTTTAAGTAGGGTTGAGCGTAGTGTTCGGTGCAACTTACGTCATCCTCATAGGTAATAAAAAAAGAAGAGTTATTGCTGAGAAATGTGTAGAAGTAGGGATAAACGGGGTGGGGTCACTTAGCTTTATCAACCATTCCTCATCTGTCATCACCTTATATACTCATATCACCTGAAAGTATTTGAATTATCAAGTCGATAAGTGTTATGATGGTTACCACAGAGGAAAAAGTGTTTGCTTGAAGCCCATCATACAGATTGTGGAGAGTTTCAGTAGTTTCCTAGATGATACTTCTTATCACATCTATGCTGTATCAGCTTTCAAGCCTAACATTATGTTATTATTGGTGTGCCTAATTTGACTTGTTTGGTAATTCGAAACAACTGCTAAGTTGTTGAAACTTTAACAGTGTTGTGTTATTCTAAGCTTACTTCATCAAGTCGTTGCATAATTACTGCTATGACAGGTGGTACGATATAACACTCTATGAGCAATACGAGCCTAACAGACAATACGAACGTAATGCTCAACGAATCGACTCTGACGTAAATCAGAACATCAACCACCAAAACAACAATATCACCGACGCGCGAATACAAGATAGACCGTTGACAGGGAGCTTTTTACTGCCTCAATAAGAGTTTGATCTTCTATGCATCATCTCTGTTTGAGAAGTCTTCTTTGAACAAGTTCTCATATCTGCGAAAACATAAATCTAAGGTTATGTTTACATCTGGGTCATAGAAGAATTCAGATATGCTGCTACCGACGTTGTCATTGCCTAGAGATTAATCGATTGGGATAGGATATCCGTAAGCCAGCAAGCAAGTTCATGTTTTTAAGCTGCTGCTCTATCAGTTTTTTCAAGCGTGATGGATCTGTTTCAAAATACATCCGTCGCTAATTTTCTATGACCGATAGTACGACTTAACATTGTACGAGTGATACAAGCTCGGTAAACTACGAACGTCAACCACCATCACACCAATTACACACTATCCTTATTGTTCAGCGGGACTTGATACACACTGTGATTTCTTTGTCTGATTATGGTTTTCTGACACATGTTAGATTCGATTGTATCAAACCCTTAATAATGGATGGTTTCTGGTCACTTTATCTAGTTATTTTTTTGAAACTTTACATTCAGAAAGCTTATCGATAAAGGTGTGGACAACTTCAGTTGTAGTTTACCGTTTTATTAGCAGTGCATAATGTCCCTGATTGTTGGTTTGAGCCGTGTAAGGAGGTATAAACTGCCTGACTGGGGTCATCGAGACGATAGAAATCAGTGGTTAAGGACTGACTCTTGGTGACATTGCTGAAAATCGGTCACAGAGGTCCAGATATGCTCACTCTTTGGTGTTTTCTAAAGGTTGAATGTTTTGAACAACCTTCCTCTTTAAATTTGCTCTGCTCCATATACACCTCTGTCTACTTTGATATCAGTCTTTCTCTATCCACCTGTTCTTTATATGCAACTTGAATCGCTGCAGTATTGTGCGAGGTTCTCTCTATCTGTTCTTTAAACGTTTAATTACGAGAATTTTTTTTTGTTTCACCAGTTTGAAAACTGACTAAGCCATGGAATTTGAAACAATGAGTCCGTTTAATGAATTTGTGTAATGCAATAAGAAGACGGAAGTTACTTAGGAGATGTGATTTACATTTCGAATGATCTGGTCACATATTGACTTATCAAGGTGTTTTATGTGAAGGATGAAAATAGGGGATGGATTTAAGATAATGAAATATTGGAAAATAAAGGGACAATAATGCCAAATAATACATTGTCATACCTTCTTTGATATTAAAGTCAGATAAAGATTACCAAGGTAGGTTTATGTTAAGGACAAATTGTTTTTGAATCCACAAAGAGGATTCAAACTTTTGTATACCTAAGGCGTAAATGAACCTAAGTGCACGGTCTTGATGGCTCCTATACAAATCGTCTGAAGATTGTTTTGGGATAAATCTTGTTACCTATTTCTATAATGTGTGTTTACTTATCGGGGATGACGTCTATATGCTCCCCCCCCCCCTGTATTTCTCGGTTTATTTGGATGTAATCAGATAGCTGAATAGATCAACGTATAAATTGTCATAGAAGTACATTGGTCCAAGTTGTCACACTTCATAATATCATACAGAGAAATGAAGAGGAATAAAAAGCATCGAAGTTTATAAAACTGTATGATGTAAATAGGAATACAACAATAAAGGTTGATGAAACTATTCAAAACTTTGAAGATGACAAAACATTTATATATCTACGACATTGTGATCGATTATCATGCATATCATGAAAAGGTCTTCAAGCATCGACTCACAATCAGTTAACTTACACCTCCGTATATGTCCAAAGTTAACAGTTCACAACTTCTTGTCTTAATTTAGCCAACGTCATCCTTTTTCCAGCCTAAGGCTACTTCGACGAATATCTCGCATCCAAATAATTGGTGGCCTAGATTTGTACAGTAACAGCAGTTGGAAGTTAACTTCATCAACTGACTTTTCTTTCCTACCTGGTACTCAACGCTGAGTCTTGACCATTTGCTTACACGAAAATTTTTACTGCACACAAGCAATACTAGAAAATCACCTATGATCAAAACCTGTAGCATTTTTGTAACTTCAACTTTTAGGGGCCATGTCTCACATTCGTATAAAACTGAATGAACTTCTGCCTCCTTTCATGGAAGCAATCTATGACCCCCCCCCTCTTTTATTTCTTCGCATCAACACTCGTATTACACTAAAATATCTCAAAAAGGTCATATTGGTAGCTTTATATGTTAATAAATTTCCTTTTTAGGTTGGGATTCACCATGGACTGACATTAGTTGGAGGAACATTAGAAACCTAAGAGCACTGAACAGCTTTTTCGTCCTAGTATGGGACTCCTCAGCAGTACAAACCCATAACCCTACCCCGACAAGAATCGAACCCAGGATCTTGAGGTTCCATGGTCAGCATGTTACCAATGAGCCACTGAGTCGGAATCTGTGAAATATCCTCTTTGTCTTATTTGTGCTCTCTTCGAAATATTTGACATTCTATCATATATATAAGAAGTGATTAACATGTACTCGTTTGCTTACCTCTACTACCTTTCACGTAGCATACGTTCTCCTCAGTTTTGTTGTCAAACCTATCTTTGCAGTGGATTCACTTCATAGTTGCTTAAAGTAGTTAGTGATTATGATTATTTACTATTTGTCCCTTGGGTTCCTAGTGGAACATAGAGCTTCAGCAGGACATCTCCAGTGCACTCTGTTCTCTGAAATTTTTTGAACCTGGTTCCACGACAGCCCACAAGCTCTCAATTCCTCCTCACACGATCTCCTCCATGTCACCCTCACCTCGGACACCCAACTGGTCGCTTCCCATCTGGGTTCCACTCGACGGCCTGGCGCGTGATATCCTCAGTCGGCCTTCTTAGTATATGCCCAATCCACCTCCACTTCCACTTTCTTCTGCATATTTGTTGAGCGATAGGTTCTTTGTTGATTAGTTGCCAGCGAGAGTTCCTTGTTGCCTATTCTTATTATTCTGGCCATCTGATCTGAGCTTCAGTAACGAGTCAGCGTAGGTGGCAGTTGTTGATGAATGTCTGTAGTTTGTTACAAATGCCTTTCGTAACTCGCCAAGTCTCTGAACCATATAGCAGCAATGAGTTGACTGGATTGGTGTTGAAAATCCGGATGTTGTTCACACTTTATACTGAGTGGAGTGCAGTAGATGTCCACACTGGTTTCAGGTTAATGAAGGCCTGTCTTGCTGTGTTTCCGATGCTGGCTGGCTGGCTGGCTTTGACATCGTCGTGTGTGCCTGTGTCACCTGTAGTTGAAATGATGCTGCCTAGATAGGTGAAAGAGGCCATTTCCTTTAAGTTTCTCCTATCGATAGTGATTGGAGTTTGTTGTTGTTGTTGTTGGTTGGGTATCTTCATCACCTCTGTCTTCTCTACATTCACCTGAAGGAAGTCGAGTGTTCGGTACCTGCCCTGCCTCTTCTGTCAACTTGTTAGTTTCCACCTGTAGATCTTCTAGTTTGTGTGACATTAGACACAAGTCATCGTTGGTGAAATCCAAATCTTCACAGATGTTTTCGGCAGTGCAGCCAGTGTATCCGTGTCTTCTCGCTCCTCTCAGTTTGTTGCATGATCCAGTCGACTACAATCAGGAATATCATGTGTGATAGTAGGCTGCAGTCTTATCTTACTCCTGTCTTCACTTGACTTCACTTCAAAGGCATCAGTGAGCTGAGCTTCCTATTGTGAATTACTTGGTATATGGCATCTTCATATAATTGTTGAATGAGAGTAATAAAGGTTTGTGGTATTTCGTTGTGTTGAAGCAACTGCCAAATTACATCTGTGTCGACGCTGTCAAAAGCCTTTACAAAGTCAATGAAGTTGATGTAGAAAGTAGTTAGTTATACTTTGCTTATTTCTGTGCTCTATGCCTTATTGCGTTTTCAATTGTATTTAAAGAGATATCATTTAATTGAGAAGATGAATTAAACTTGTGTATATATCGAAACACTTGCATACTCCTACAATGGTATGGCATCTCAGCTTCAGATTGATCATTGCCTGGTATCAACTAACTAATTTACTCAGTTTTTTTTCTTTTAAATGTCATTATGCTAATTTAAGGCGTTAGGTGATTCTGTTAAATATCAATTGGGCACCACCAATTGATTGAATCACTTCGAAGTCGATTGATGAAAAGATGTTTATGTTTCTTTTACGGTAAATTATTCATTATTTCGAATGTTTATTATCACCGTGTGTAGAGATGGATGGGTCTAATAATTTTTTCTATTTTCTCATTTTTTTTGTTTTATAAAGGAGCATATTTCTCCATCTTCACCTGGAAAGACAACTGGAAATGGTCATATCACTAATGATGATGATGATGATGGTAATGTAGATTATGCTGACAACTATGATGTACCAGTTAAAATGAAGTCTAAGAACACACATCTTCCTCTTCCACCACTTTCATCAAATCGTCTAGATTCTCATAGAATAACAAAAACAAATACATCGATATTACCGGTGGTTGTGGTGACGACGACGACGGCAACAACAACAACAACGAATTTGTTCAATGGCTTAGGTGAAAATACCACTCCAGTTTGTATGAAATCACATTTCAATAACATGCATAATACCAATACTACTACTACTACTAATATTAATATAAATAATAAAGAGAATTGCTTAAAAGATCCTTTAACAACTATCTCTTCAGATTCTGAATCAGATAATGAATCAACAACAGAATCAATATACCATCAACCACCAAAAGCAGCTGATCGTAATGCAGCTTTTAGGCTAGCAAAAAGATTATTCCATTTAGATGGTTTTCGTATTACAGATGTTGCTAAACATTTATGCAAACGGTAAGTGAAGTATAAAACTTAACTATGGTACTGTTCTTATCATGATTTTTTTTTCCGCCGTCTTGTTTGAATAAATTCAGCACCACATTATTCTTGCTATGATTGGTAATTATGACCTAACAGTCTACGAATGTAGCGCTCAAACAATCTCCTCTAATCAATCGCAACAACAACAATACTATCGGTAACCGAAGATGGACCATTGGCGGAGAACTTTTACTATCTCGACAATAGTTAACATAGTTGACAGCGATGCCGAATATACATACGTTGTAAACGACCTTGACAAATATTAAATTCACTGATAAGTTAAAATAGCTAACAACCAATGAGAGTTCAGCCTTCAGAAATAATGGGAAAAGCAAAAGCTAGCAACGGTACCAAGCAGGCAAGTTTAAAGGTCATCCTAGTAATTACTAGGATAACGAATTACTTTCCTTTACTTAGTGAAAAACTACTTTCCTATGCGCAGTGTCTTAATCTGATTGGTTATTTTAACAGTTACTAGGGTGGCGTTTAAAATCCTCCACGCCAAGCTGACGCGAAAACAGAAAAAACAAAGTTATCTCCTGGTTATAGGCAAATTAAGGGTATATAACAATCTTGTTATTTTGAATAAATTAGTTGACGTAGGAATTCTATGGGGTTGAAAGTAGGTGAAATTAAATTCTTCTCAATATCAAGATATTTTAAAACAAATTTTCAGCACATATGGTTGAGTTTCATTAATATAAGTGTAAAACTTGGGCATTAGAAAAATTAAATTTTGAGGGAGTTGCGGAGATTTGGAAATACTTCAAGTTGTTATTCATCGAAGACTGACATCAGTTGGAGGAACAAAGGAAACAAGGGAGCACTGGACAGCTGTTTCGTCCCATTTGTATGGGACTCCTCACCAGTGCGCACCCATGACCCTACACCAGCAGGGATCGAACCCGCGACCTTCAGGTTCCGTGGCCAACGCGTTACCATTGAGCTAGCCACTGGGTCAGAATCCAATGCTCCATATTTCCAACTTCTGTTAGCTCACGATATATAGCGCTAACCGCCACCCAATGTCATCGTTGAGTATTTGTCCTCACGGCCATCAGGCTTTCACTCCACCAGTCACGACTTGTCATTGGAACTTGGGGAATACTTCTCGAAGCTAGTCACCAATGAGCACCAGTTCAATTAAATTTTTTGAGGGAGTTGTGGAGGTTTGGAAATATTTCAAGTAGTTATTCATCGTAGACTGACATCAGTTGGAGGAACAAAGGAAACCTGGGAGCAAAATTTCGTTCCATATTTAATGCATAACACACATTGGTATCGAGCATAAATTATCATTGCTCATAATCATATCGATATAATAACACTCCACTTTCGACATCTGCTTTTTATAGTTCTATCATATCATATTCTTTGTTCTTATTGGTGGTAAGATTTTCTATATCTCTGACATAGGTGAGTGTTGCGTCATTCCGATTCTATCTGTTGCGTGTTGATTCATTGGACAAAGATTCAGTAGTCAATCTCTCTCTCTCTCTCTCTCTTTCTCTGCCTAGTTATATTGGAATTAAGTACAGTGGTTTTATCCCCTCTGCCCCACCCTACTGTACTTGTGTGTTAATGCATGCATTGCAGCAGGCGAGATCTTCTTCAAATTATTGATTTTATTCGAGTCTGTCATTCGACATTCAGCTAAATTCCTATGTTCGGCTATCTTAATTGACCCCGACCGACTAGTTTAACCTATGTACTTGACCTAACTCACAGTCTTTACATGGAATTCGATAGATTAGATTGTTTTCCTTAATTGGTTCTATAGGATCCTTAAGCCAGCCAACAAAGCTTATCTCTGAATAAGTTTGTAGGTTTAAATACCACCCTAATTCCAGCTTTGTTGAGGATCCTACGTAAGGTTTGTGATGTACCTTCCTTATAGGATAACACAATGAAGGCTGTGAACTCCTTTCTACTTGTGTTGTCGTTATTGTTCGTACTTGTGTTACTGTTATTATTTCGTTTCTTATGTGTTCGTACAAATTTCTTAACAAACTGTGGAGGATAATTATTAACTATTGGTGCTTCTCTTACGTGTTTCAGTTCCTTGTTTAGGTCGTTGCACTGACTAGTCATTTTCCCTAGCTCTATCACTTAGACATTTGACTAAGCCTGCCTTAACTGACCTTGGATGGGATGACTTGAAGTCTAGACACCTGTTGGAATTTGTCGGTTTTCCGTAGATGGTAGTATCCAAACCACGGTTTGTCCTTCGTTTTATCTTGCAATCCAACATAGGCAATTATCCTTGTTCATTTTCTATGTCACAAGTGAATTGGATTGCGCCTACTACTGAGTTTATATATGTTTAAGCAAATTGTCGATTTGTTTTGATTTCAACACAGAAAATGTGTCATCCACATATAGCCACCATATTTTAGGTGCAGGACTGAACGTTGTAAAGCCATGTTCTTTCAACTATCCATAAATATATCTGCTACATTTTGGGATATTGATGATTCCACTGCTACTCCTTCTGTTTGTCTGTATATTTTGTCCTGAAACTTGAAGACTGTCAAGGTCAGGCACAACTGTACGCCTAATATGATCTCATCAACCGATATCTTCGTTCTCTGATTCAGTTCTGAGTCAATATTTAGTTGACTTCTGACTGCTTCCAGTGCCATATTGATTGGTATTTTAGTATAAAAACTTTTTACATGGAAGCTAATCATATGAGGTGACAACTATGAAAACCAAATGTCGAAAGTATTATGATCACATTGATATGATTATGAGTAGTGATAATTTTTGCTCGACGTCATCAAGTAAACGATTCTATATCAAATCAGATAAACAATTCTAACATCTAGTGTTATTGCTTGTATTACACCGTCGTTAGTTGGACAGAATCGATCAGTCTCTGTTGGCATATGGGCTGCTGTGCGGATGCCTCGATATTGCCTATGTTCTTTACTATATACTAATGATGGATAGTGGCTAGCAGTGGAATAGTCCCAAATAGGACGAAATTCCCATCCTGGATTCCACTGCTAGCCACTATCCATCATTACTATATAATTCTAACATGTGATTGAAGTTGATCAACACTTTTAAACGCTTAACGCTAGTTTATAGAAAGTTATGAATATGGGTTTTGTGATGTATAACACTCAACGACAAGTCATATTCGAAGTCTCAACTTGTAAGACTGTGTTTTACTAACTCCTATATTCATCTTTTGATCAGTAGATCACAGTTTTAAGTTCATCACTGCCACTTGTGGTTCACGCAACTACCGCATCTTTCAAAAGGTATATGGCTCAACAGCCTAGTGCATATATAGTCCATATAAGTTGCCCTGTATACTTCGGCTGATGATTTGAAGCATCTAAGGAGGGGGAGCTAGTGTGCTGCATAGCCCAGTGTCAATCAGCTTAAAATACCACCCCCCTTCCTGAATCGCGACAGGGGAAGTTGGATTAGGATGGAAGAAAGTTCAGAGTGCCTAGACAAAGACGTCGCACCAGTCGATGAAGTCCCTGACTGTTGACTTGACCCATGTAGGGAGGTGTAGACTTCCTGGTTGGGGTACCTGAGACTATAAAAATTAGTGGTTGAGGAAACCTGGTGACATGACTGAAAATCAGTGACAATGGGGCAATTGTATTCACTGCTTGACATCTTATAAAGCTTGAATATTCGCACTAACTTTTTTTCTCGAGTTGTTGATTCTCCCACACTTTCTGTACTACTGTGAAATATGTCAACTTGAACCGATCCATTTGTGTTCGAGGTTTTACGCTGATTTTTCAGTCAATCTGTCAGTCAGTCAGTATCGCAAAGGAATTCCATCAACACTATATCAGCAAATTATACACTACTCTGTGTAAATAAGTCACTACCATTTACATTTTACCTCTGTGTGTGTTGGAAGTTATTTGAATATTGGACCACGATTTGATCCAGGTTTCAATTTCTTCATAAGTTTTATATCAAGTTGTTATCGTAGACTGACATCAGTTGGAGGAACAAAGGAAACCTGGGAGCACTGGACAGCTGTTTCGTCCCATTTGTATGGGACTCCTCAGCAGTGCGCACCCGCGACCCCACTCAGCGTTGACATTGGGTGGCGGTTAGCGCTATATATCGTGAGCTAACAGAAGTTGGAAATATGGAGCATTGGATTCTGACCCAGTGGCTAGCTCAATGGTAACGCTCTGGCCGCGGAACCTGAAGGTCGCGGGTTCGATCCCTGCTGGTGTGGGGTTGTGGGTGCGCACTGGTGAGGAGTCCCATACAAATGGGACGAAACAGCTGTCCAGTGCTCCCTTGTTTCCTTTGTTCCTCCAACTGATGTCAGTCTACGATGAATAACAACTTGAAATAATTCCAAATCTCCACAACTCCCTCAAAATTTAATTGAACTGGTGCTCATAAGTTTTATAATCAAGTCATAAACACTTGACACCTTAAATTGTCGTATAACAAGTAGGACAAAAGAAATCAAGTGTATAGCTGTCTAACTCCCTGGAACTTCACTGTCATCCAATCGTAATTTTACTCCTGCTAAATCGTACAAAGAAATCTTTTACCATTTGAGTAATGTAGTTTACTTTTGTCGAAAGGAGTTTTGATTCAGTGGTTCAGGTGGTTGACTTTTAATCAATGAGCGAGTCATAGATTTGAACCTCACTTCACCTATTGATGAGGTACATAGATAACCAGGTAGGTAGTAAACACCAATAACCCTGACACTACAGATATGACTCATTTGCAGTTACATTAAATTATATGTGGTTGCTGAATTATCTTCCAAAAACCCTTGAACATTAAAAATGGTTTAGTTCATGTACCACACCACCTCATGATGAGGGACAGCCCGTAAAATAACGAACAGATGAATTGAAGTAGCGACACCGGACAGAGACAAAAACAACGTAGAACCTCGTATACAAGTGTACCGGTTCACGTCGCTACACTTCACAGTAGTATGCAGAGAACAGGCGGATAGG